TAGTGCAAAAAGAATTATTATCCTTCGTGAATGTAAATGTGATGGCATACTGCATTAAAACATGGACTGCTATGTGACATCCTAATCCTTCTTAGTGACTGTAAATGTGATGGCATACTACATTAAAACATGGATTTTATACTGCAACAAGAGTATTCTGTCATATAACTACCAAGAATATTTCAACACTACAATTGCATATGGAAGATTTTTTGTTGTATTATTTTCTTTGTGGTTCGATTACTTACTTAAGAGTCTTTTTTATTTTCTTTCTCTTCGTTCACTTCATACACATTTGGACTGGAAATATTTGTCTTGTAGCTTTAATTTTTTATATTACATCTTATGTTTCTTCCAAAAAATTAAAAAGAATTGATTGGCATTAGCAAATGTCTGTTCTCAACAGGTACAAGACTGAGAATGGCCAGAAACTAGAGCCTGTTGAAGAAGTGACCATTGAGGTAAGTATATGGAACGTGTTTTTAGGTTGTTTTCATTGGAGTTCTCAGATTATTTGCGTCTTTTTTTTAGGTTAATGAAGAGCATGTTGGATTAGTTATGGAAGCCTTGACTCATAGGCGAGCCGAGATCGTTGATATGGGTCCTGTCCCAGGAGATGTTGGCCGAACTAGATTGTCTTTGACTTGTCCATCAAGGTTAGTTCGTCTATTATCAAGTTTTTTCTAAGAGTTCCAACTGTGATAGTGCTGTTTTGTTTGCAAATAATTGCTCATGCAGGATTTCTAGTTAGGAAGATAAAATCTTTTTTCCTTTGATGATAACATGTTACTTTTATGCCCCTCCAATATATGTTTTTGATGAGAAAATGGACAAATATATTATTATGGGATCTAAGATGGTGCCAACGGGTGTGCTAATTTCATGACAAAAATTGTAGTGTCGGTCAATACATTTATGTTTACTCTGCATCAAAACTGTGGAATGTAAAACATCCACCTCTAACATGTAGTGCAGAAGTTGAATTTATCAAAAGAAAATATTTTTATAAATGTAATATATAGGAAATAAAAGAGAGGTGATTGCGACTTTGACATGGAATATAGCCATTGGATCGAGCATTCACAAATTGAATTTTCTTGATTTCCACTCCAACCTTTTTGGCGTTGGATGCATTTACACTGTTTACTATGGCCAAAGCTCTGAGCCTAATTTACTCTTGCTGAAGTCTTAGATCTGCTTAAATGTGAATTTCACAAGAAGGCCCCTTAGATTTTTTGCTTTTTCTGTACATTTGCATTATTTTTTGATTTATGTTTAGATTATTAGGGGTATATTTGACTGGACGATCTTCTGCAAATGAATTGCTCCCTGCAATATTACATTTCTTCGATCGTTGCTTTGGTGTGTACCATTCTTCAAGCATTGTTAAAGTATAAATTACAAGCGTCATATTTGACATGCACTTTGGTAAATCTTACATTGTTATTCAGGGGCCTGGTTGGGTACAGGAGTGTCTTCAGCAGTGATACGAGAGGAACTGGATTCATGCATCGTGCTTTCCTGAGTATGTTTGTAGTGCTAGAAGCTATATATTACTGTGGGATTCTTGTTTTACTTTTCCTTTCCTCAATTGCCATGCTAAATAAATGTACCACGGTCGCTCTTATGAGTTACTGGTGGCGATTATCCCAACAACTATGTTGAGGTGAATTAGGTTCCATAGACAATAAATCTACCGAATTAACATCTGATAGGTTTTTGACACCTAAGTTGAAGTTAAATTCATTCGTGCTTCTACATGTAGCCAGTGGATGCATTAGTATCTCCTACTAATAAAAGAGCTGTATATATGCATCAGAAAGATAAAGAAGACATTGCACCCTGGACTTTCTTTAGTCATGGATCTGTTTTTCCACTATTTCATTTCCCATTTTCGCAGTGGCTTGTAGACCGGCTTCATCGGGTGTGGCAATGAACCTCTTCTAATTTTTTTATCATGTTTCTGGCTAAAAATTGTTTTACAATGGGGCATTAAAGTCAAATGCGATTTTGCAGCAATGAGCACATTTTTTATTATGGTTGTACCAGTTTCTGACTTGCATCTGCATTTTCAGATTTGGTTAGATGGGATTTTATTTTCTGCTGGTTGTTGCTCTCTCTTGCTTATATCTGTTTTTATCCGAAAAACTGCAGCCTATGCAAAGCACCGAGGCCCTCTAGGGAATGTGAGGAAAGGAGTGTTGGTAAGTCTTTGTGCCATGATTTTGATTTCATGAGGAAACTTCTTTTGTACTAACACTTTGTTTTATAGGAAATCTCTTGGTTTAAATTGCTATTGACCAAAATTAAGAGTTATCATTCACCCTCAATCCCATTAATTAAACCCTAAGGTCTACTCTACTTGTAATATTATTTCTGGTGCGTTGATAGAGGTGGACACTTCAAATATAGGACTAGACAATGTGATTTGCATATTTTATCATGCTTTTGACAGGACTAGACACCACCCAATAAGCACTTCACTGATAATGTCTATTAGTGAGAGCCTTCTTTCCCTCATGCAAATCACTTAGAGTGAGTATCCACCCTAAGAACCTCATGACCACGAGCAGAGTCCACTTTATAAGAGGGGGTCGTTACTTTGTGCATGGCTTCCAAATAAATGGATCTGACTGAAGATAATGCTTTCTTCTTTCGGATCCATATCTAAATATGTTACCGCATTCACTCTTTTATTTTTGTTCAGAGTAAATTGATTAAGGATTTGGTTTATTGGTAGATCTATCAAAAGTATTATTCTTTGTTTCCTGGAGCATATTTAACATTATGCATCTGATGAATTCTTGTCACATAGGCCAAAATACAGATTCACATTTTCTCTGGTACTGTCAGTGTCCTTGACTAAAGCATGCATGCTTCTGTTGGACAGGTATCCATGGGCTTTGGTACGATTACGGCTCATGCATTAATGAGTTTAGAGGCTCGTGGAACTCTCTTTGTGAGCCCGGGAATGGAGGTTGTCACTCACAGCCGATTATACATGTTAATGCATTTTCTCTTGTGGAACATAAGTCTTGTTTGACTTCCATTTTTAGGAGCATATAATGTATCTGCATTTTGTCTCTCATCATTCCACTCTAGTTCTGATCCTATAAATGACATGTCCTTTTACTTTTCTTGTATGTTTTCATTTGTCAAATTACAGAGGTCTTTGATGGTTAGTGAGCATCGTTAACTCAGGAGAAGAACTAGTATATACTTCATAAATAGTTGGCTTGTCAATTGTAAGACTGACTTGGATTGCATGGAAGAAAATATGTAAGATGAAAACTAGACAGATAAGAAAGGATGTGAATAGGTATTTTAATAATAAATGAGTTATACAGATTGCCAAGTCTCTTGTAGGCTTTTATTTTCCTCTACTAAGATCTATCCTACGTAAATTTTGCTGATTTACTTGTTGATTGGTATGCAGGCATATGATGGGATGATCATTGGTGAACACTCACGGGATTCTGACCTTGATGTAAGATTTTTGCTTTTGGAATAAGTACAACATGCTGCTTCTAGTTTGGCTTATCTCGTAATGCTTTCCTTATTGTAGGTGAATCCAGTAAGGACTAAGGAACTGAGCAATATGCGGGCCGCTTGCAAGGATGAAAACGTCAAGTTGTCTCCTCCTCGCCTGGTATTTCTTCAGTAAAAAGAATTGACTATCGTCTAATGCAATGAATGAAGTTGCAGTGTGATTTAGCAGTAGAACGTGTTTTTTTTTTCTATACTGGCGAAAGGCTTGAAGGCATTGTCAACTTGTCTCTGCCTGTAATTTCCTTCAGTCCTGCTAGTTGTGCACTGAAATTGCTAGTATTATGTGGTCAAGCATGTTAGATTTAGCTATCCTGAAGGCATTGGCAGATCATCTTTGGCAGTAATTTCCTTCACTCCTGCTAGTTGCGTGCTGAAACTGCCAGATCCATTTGGTCAACCATGTTAAATTTGCCCATCGTGGATTATCCTTGGATAGTGGAACCAAGAATGGTTTTGATCTGGCAATTTCTCTACTGTGATTTATAATAATTGAGTTTTCTTTTGAACAGATGACTCTCGAAGAGGCCATAGGTTATGTTGCTTCAGACGAGCTTATTGAAGTAAGTTCATACGTCATTCCAATATTATCTTCTGTCCTCGATATGCCAAATATGAGTTTACATTCTTTCTTGTGCCATCTTCCTCATGTTGTAATAGCAGTATATATGTACTCTAGTTGTTGCGTGTGTAGCAGTTTTGTTGTTTGTCACCATCATTTTACTTGGTGAGTCGCTCAAGATGACTTTGTATATTCTGTGCAGGTTACACCAAAGGTAATAAGATTAAGGAAGAAATACTTGGATGTTAACAAGCGGAAGAGCATGAGCAAGAGACCAAAAGAGTGAAGCGGCGCTGCTATATACAATTTTGTAACTCTTGAATCATTTGTTCGACAATGTACAACTATTTATTTGTCCACCCCCAATAAGGGTCATGTATTACAAATCTCTATCTTTCCCACAGAAATACCCATAGTAGTATTCTTTTTTCTCTGAGAGAGTATTTTTGTAATCAAATTATGTAACCTGTGTAAGTAGTGTCTACTAACACATGAACTTCTTACTGGCAATTGGAGGAGTTATGTGAAGCAGCCTTCGCACGGTTTCTTTTACAGAAATTGGTCTTTTTGCAGCGGATATCATAATCTTCATTGTGTTTAATGTCTGCGGTTGCATCAAAAAAACTTCTGGAAGCAGCGGCAAGTGGATGATTCAAAATTCGATGATCATATTCATGGATGGCACTTTGAAGATAGCGTCTTTTTGATAAGTAAAAGAAGTGAAAATGGGCCATTGGCATTGGCTACCTCCCCTCGATTTCTTTGAATATAAATAGTAGTAAGGACTCAAATCGAACGGCGAATGTGGAACTCATATGAGATGATATGCAAGTACACCTGAAAGAACTCGGCAATCACTAGGGCGTATAAACGTCCATAGAGGTACACATCCTTAAATGAGAAGTGCCAAAAAGAATTCTCAGATTAATATTCTCATAAATATTACAGGTTTTGTATGGATCAAAGATGGTGTTGTCGGTCACATACTATTTTTGAAAAGGCAAAACTACTCAATGACCTGCGTTAGAATTTATACACTTTAGCAACAGAAGGAACTTGGCTTCAATATGCATGTAAGATATCTACATGTAAAGTAAATTATGGTATCAACAATGTTTTGAGTATCATCATATGATCTTCAGCATTCAGAATCAGCCTTCTGATCAGCCTTCGTCCTGCCCTTGACTGGATGTTTAGTTTCAGGGGAAACATCGGCAGTGAGCCTTCCCATCTGCTTCTGGAGATCAACCACCGAGTCATTCGCGCCCTTTCCCTTAGGACTCTTCTTTACGCTGACGAGCTTGAGCTCTAACTTGTATAATGCACAACAGTCAGACGAGTTGACCTCATACTCAAACAAGTGCCATTCAAAAGACCCTGGAGGTTGGGGGTCCATGTAATAGGACCTCTTGTGTCCCCCAAGTTCTTTCATCAACTGCTTCCTTGATTCGTGCCAACCACGTCCGCTATAATCTGACAATGACCTCTGCTTTCTGTTTCCGCTTTCAAATGCCCTCCTCGGCTTATCAAAGAAGAGCCATTCCCGGATGTTTTCTCCCTCCAGAAGAGAGAGGTCGAATAGCTCTGCGAGGTTGGAAGCGGCTCAGATTGGGAGTAATCAGCTCACCAGTTATTTGCGTGATTAAACAACCCAGAACAGAGAGAAAGAGAGAGAGAATATGACTTACTAGAGGCATTCCATGGCGATTTTTCAATGGCAGCCCCATGACATTCGGGAATTCCCACATTTTTTCCCTGCATCTTTGCAATAAGAGAGGAAAGTAGCCTATCATCCTTCAAACCAATTCCTCCGGGGCGCAGTACAGGATTCATACCAGGGCTGGCTTCACTAAGAGCCAGATCAGCATGCATTGTACTGCAGTAGTCCAGACACCACTCAGAACCTTGAGCAGGTCTCTGACAATCCCAAAGAGCACATTTTGGGCCCAAAAAAGCAGATGGTGGAGGATTGACGAGAGGCAAAATGTTAGCACCAAAATCATGCCCTATTTGTTTCGCATCATTTGCCTCCCCATAATGCCCATGGTCATTATCTTGATGGAAATCAAAATGGAGATAATCCAACTGAGCAGACAAATCTGAGTCGTTAACAACTGTATTATGCATGCCTAAATCGATCCCACATTGATAGAATTCTTGAGAACCAAGTCCTTGCAGCTCAAAGTTCACAAAATCAGTCTGAAAAAGGACCAAAAAAAAAAAAGCACAGTTGTAACGACAAAACTCAAGATAAACTAGTACAGTTTAAGCTGTGTGCATACTGCACAGTGGCAGCTTAAAAATCACATAAACCACAATAAGAGAATCACTTAGAAGAAAAAGTATGAAAGCATTCAAGATTTAAAACGCATAAATCTCAAAGCCAGAACTCCACTTAGCAAGCATAACTCAGATATTTCAAGCTTCCAACGACTAGCACTTTTCAAGACTTAGTTTGTGCATTTGCATATAATTGCGTGTGCCCATGTGGGCAAACTGTGCAACTCCAAATTTAGACCTGTTCTCAGGAATAGGGGTTGGGAAACCCCCAAGTTGCTAATCATACCAAGCAGCTATTAGACTTTCACCGAAACTGGTAACCAGGAAGAACATTGTTAGCACAACAATGATCTTTACAATGTTAGTAGCAGATCAATAAATATACTTGGAAGAAGTATTAATCCTCTTTTTGCAACCTAAAGAACATGCAGTCCGAAGCAGAAGTCTCGAGTTATCTACACCTGCAATTCAAATTAATTGGCATTTGGATTTTATCTTTGGAATACCAAGGCAACAATTTTCAGTTATTTCTTTCCCATATCCATTGCCATAAGAAAAGGCCATCTTGTATAATTATGAACTGATTAGGAAAGGATGCAGTACCGAGCTAACTACCGGACACATAACAAACTTCGAGAGAGAGAGAGAGACCTCCTGAGCTGCTGTGAAAGTGGCTGTTTGAAAGCTGTCAGTGTCAGGTTCAGGCTTCAAACCTGCCCATTCAACCAATGTGCTGGTCGCATCATCTTGCTCGTCACAAAGCTGCAGCATGCGCTGTATGTCCTCTGAGAATGATCCAAGGCTATCAACCTACACAAGAAAATTCAGAGGAAAAGAAGTTTATATGCAGCCATTTAATGTAGGCGCTATTACAACCACAGGAAAATAAGACCTCAATATGATTTATTTTAACAAGAGTGCAGTGTAAATGATATCACCATTGCCCCACTTCACTATATAGGAAATCGCTTGAGAAGAGAGAGGGCAATGCCCATAATGATGAATAATAAAATTAAAAACAAAACATTATAGTATCAAATGAACCGATTCAATAAGCATCAAAACATGTAAATGACACAATAACTACGAACAGGTATAGGAGATGCTGGGGAAGATGCATTAATCTCAGCCTTCAAATCACCGAACGACTGAAGCACTTGCTCCACCAAGACATTAGCATCACCGGTCCGACCCCCTTTCCAAGCCAACTGAAAATTTGTGATAATTTCTTGAATGTCGTCAATCAGTTTCCTTCCCTTTTCTGACAACTGCTGCTGAGTTGCAGCCTCACATTTAATCTTAGTCTCACTGTCCATCTCCTGAAATCACAAAAGTTAACCATAACAATCACAAATACTAATATGACCATTGAAAAACATGAAAGATGTCAGACATAAAAAGTAAAAGGACTGATCACCTTCTGTTCGCCTGTATTTTTTTTTTTTTTTTGGTCTGTCCTATTCTATGTTCTACTCTACACTATCACTCTCTCACTTTTGCAATTTCCGGGACTTGAACACCAGACCTCTTGCAAGTGTGCCCCCACCCCTGTCCCCCTTTGCCACTGGGCCGAGCACCCAGCGAACATGTTCGCCTGTATATGAAGAGCCTATAAAATGGATGGAATGCGATGTGATAGAACTTATGAAAATTCCATGTCTTGTTCTCTCTCACATCATAATGAAACTTCTTTTCGAGAAATACAAGTTCATAAACACCAGAGCAACAGAAAACTTAAACACCCTGAAGGTTCCAACACGCACATACACAATCAGAGCTGGGTAAGCTTATGTCAAACAACTTCATTCAGAATATTGATGCACTTCTGAGTGATAACTCATACTGCCAACAAGCGACGCCGGCTCAAATTGTTGACCTTGGCTGGAAGCCCAGAACACTATGTCCTTAAGTTCGATCGCGTTAATCATAACAAAAAACGAGAATTCCAGAAAAGGGGGGGGGGGGGGGTGGGGGGGAACTTGAACAGCAGTCAACAGATGGGACTTCCAATCTCAACCATCGAAATCAAAGTACAAGTTAATCTGATGAGACGGCTCGAAGGGAAAATCCAAATTCAGTACGTGCATTCTATCTTACTTCGGGCAAGAGGGGGGAAAAAACAAAACTTTGAGCAAGCAAAGCCATGCACAGAAATCCTAGTCCAAATCGACAACTTCCCCGACAAGAAACCAGAGGTATCAAACACCCAAAAGCTTCTTTGACGTTCAAATTGCGGAAACCAAAAAAGGGTACGCACGAAAAACCGAAACCACGGCTTGAATCGCCCATCAGAATCGATCCGAAGCTCCAAAATCCAAGAAACAATCGAACGCCCGAATTCAGGGGGACAAAAAGAGGTGCTCGGAAACAACAACAACAACACAGACGAATAGAGAAGAGGGATCATCACCTCTTGTGAGAAGAGACGACGCGTAGCGCGAGAATTGCGTCCCTCTTCGGGGACACGGAAACGGTCGTCTCTGCCGTATGGAGGAGGGAGGAGGAGTTTATGACGACAGTCTGAGTCGTCGGCTCTTCATGGGTGCTGCGAGATTGCTAATCTCGTCGGCGCTTATTTTGCCTTTTCTCTATAAAACACGCCTTCGATAACAAAAGTAGAAAATAATTAATGGTTAGGCTTCGTTTGGCGGAAAATATTCTCTTTTTTGAAAAATATTTTCCTGGAAGTCATTTTTCTGGAAAATATTTTTCCGGAACATAATTTTCCGGTGTTCGGCGATCAATATAAAAAAATTTCGAAAAATATTTTTCGTCGGCGGCCGGCGGCGGACGGCGACCGGCCGGGCTGCGGGCGGGCGGGCGGGCGGGCGGCGGGCGGACGGGCGGGCGGCCGGCGGGCGGCCGGGCGGCGGCCGGCGGGCGGCCGGGCGGGCGGCGGCCAACGGCAGTGACCGGCAATCAACTTCCTCTCCCGCGGAAAACATTTTCTCTCCCATGGGCAATTTTGCCTTCAATTTGGGGGAAAATGATTTCCTCTTTGTGAAAAGAGGAAATCATTTTCCTCAAAACAATGAAGGATTTGAGGGTGGGGAAGGAAAATATTTTCCCACGGAAAACATTTTCCGCCCCCGAACACCGGAAAACGCGAAAAATATTTTTCGGAAAAATATTTTTCCGCAAACGAACACAGTAAGTGCATTAAAAATCCCAAATTTTATCACGAAAGTGCAATCGAAATTTAAAATTGACAAAATATGTAATCAAGTTATAAGATTTGTCAAATTGGTACAATCGAATCATTTCGTCAACTCCGTCTAACTTGGTTAACAGAAAATACTCATGTGACTTTTTTTTTAGATATTTTATCTCTCCTACGTGGCGATAACGTGGCTAGAATATGAAACACAAGGCTAAAATGATATCGCTTTGGTCCAAATATGATTATTAATAAAATTTCATTTTAAAAAAAAGGTAATTTAAAAAAAAGTGAGAATCAAGTGACTAAGACTTGGAACCCTTGTCGCCGCTGCCCTGGTATCACCCAGAAGGGCTGGCCCGGCCAATAGCTGGCGACCGCCGCTGACCACAAGCCCTCCCCCAAATTTAGTCATTGGCCATCCCTTAGGTATGGCTGAGGGCCACCAATGGCAACGGTCAGTCTCTAGTGGGGGCCCTCTTCTACTGTTAGTGGGGGTCATTGGCCATCGGCCAAGGCTCGATGACCCTCGCCGACCATCTCCTAGGTCTGGTCAATGGCCACCAATGGCAGCGGTCAACCGATAGTGGGGGCCCTCTTCTGCTGTTAGTGGGGGTCGTCAACCACTGGCCGAGGCTTGGCAACCCTCACCGGTCATCTCGTAGGTCTGGCTGAGGGCCACCAATGGCTGCGGTTAGCCGATAGTGGGGGCCCTCTTCTGCATTTGGTGGGGGTCGTTGGCCACTAGCCGGGCCAGGCAATCCTCGCTTGCCATCTCTCACCCTTGCTGGCCCTTCTCAGTGATGGTGGGGTGGCAGCGACAAGAGCTAAAAACTCTGGTCGGCTGATTCTCACTTTTTTTTAAATTACCTTTTTTTTTAATAAAGTGTGTATTAAAAATTAGAAATGGACCAAAAACAACGTTGATTTAGTCATGACGTCGCCACGTAGGATAGAGAAAATAATATAAAAAAATTCATGTCAGCATTTTTTGTTAACCAAGTTAGATGGAATTAACAGAAAGAATCGATTGTATCAATTTAACAAATTTTTGGGATTTGATTACACTTTTTATAAATTTTAAGACTCAATTATACTTTCATGATAAGTTTAGGAGTTCCAGTGTAATTATCCCAATAACTAATAAGATGTAAAAGTTGGAGGCTCAAAGCTAGAAAAGTATCCCATCATAATCAATTTAAACAACATCTACGTGCTTCAACTGCTAGATAATGATTATTTGAATAGACATTTTAATTACGCCTTTCGTGCATGCTCGTACATCGCTAAACCCTTACTGAAACATATCTCTTTTTTTTTTTCTTCTTTGGCTTGAGAAGCCTTATTTGCTATTGATCCTAACTTATCACCAGCGGTAAGAATTAGAGCATGAATCGGCGATGATTGAAATTTCGATCATGAAGGGTAGACCTCAATAAGAGATCGCAAGCCAAGTATAGGGGTGATCTTGTAGTCCCCGAAGCCAGCAGTAACGAAGAGCTTAGCCCATTCTGTTTCGTTCCTCTCTCTTCCCGACGCAAGGATCATCATCAACATGTCGAAGAAGTGCTGGGTTTCGATCATCTCTCTGTCACCTGCCGGATCGTCCACCACCATGTCAATTATGATCACCCTCTTCTTCTCGCCCTTGCTCTTGCTTATGGCCTCCTTGCATCGCTTCAGTATCTTCACGCCATCTTCGTCGCTCCAGTCGTGGAGTATCCACTGCACACCGCTTAAAATAATCTATCAGCAGTCTTATCATTTTGTCCATATGTCGTTCACGTGTTATTTCTTAGATTCTCTTTGAACTTTAGGAGGGCTTCTTGCAATAATTTTGATTGTCCATCACATGGAGAATCAATTGGAGTACTTTTCTTGAATTATCTATATGCGAACTTTCTAGTAAGAGCACGTCCCAAGAATAGGGATTGGGAAAATTTTCGTTCACCTTTTGTTTTCCTTATTGTTTTTTTTTCCTTCTCCCCCAAGTAGCTTCTCCAACTTTACCCAATCAGATATGATATACATATGTCGCACACGTACCTTCAATAGAATTGCATCTGCAGGTGGTATGGCCTCAAACATGTCTCCCGGAACACATCTTACGTTCTCGCTAACTTCTAAACCAGCCACCACATGCGGAAGATCAAATATTGTGCATTCCATATGCGGAAGGGCCCTTGCTATGGCCTTGGCCATTGTTCCGGTTCCTCCTCCTACATCGACCAACGAGGTTATTCCGTCGAACACCCCTTTGTGCTCGTTAACCACCAAGCTAGCCACCAGTCGAGCATCGCTAGCCATGCCGTCATTGAAGAAGCGGCTAAGCCTCGGCTCTTGACCAGCATACCTCCAAAATGACATCCCTTGCGCCATCTCGAATGGCGTTGGGTCGACACCATCGCGGAACCACGCGCTCAAACAGTGCCACGGGTTCACCAGGATAGGGTCGAGCATGACCAGTGCGAACGGCACGACGCTCAAGGGATTGTCCTTAAGGAGGAGCTCCGACATGTGGTTGAGCACGTAGGCGTCTCGACCTTCCGGCGCAAGCTTCTGTTGTCCGAAAAAGCCGGAGTGGACGAGAATGCGCATGAGGCGACCGATGCAGGGACCTCTTGAGGGGTGAATTTGAAGTGTAGAGACCAAGGCATCGAGGGTCATGGGTTGGCCATGGTGGTGGATGGTGTCGGGAATGCCTAATTGAATGGCACATTTCAAGCACATGGAGTTGACGAAGTTGAATATGTGGTTCCATATGCGAGCTTGCGCCTGTAGTTGCTCGCTTCCCATCTCTCTATTCACCATATTCATGATACGAAGTTTTTATCTCTCACCTCTCTAGTGCAAATTCTCTCATTCATGAACACCGAGAACAAAGGGAATGGTGCGTATTTAAAATGGTTTGGAAAGTGGGTATGGAGCATTATTAATTAGTATACCTTCCGTCAGCCAAATAATTGTCATGTTCGCATGATTCACGTTGATATAGGAGGCCCCATAACATTAAAATATTAAGGGAAAATTCCAATTAAGGACCCCAAGTGGAGTTAAATTCTCAAATAAGGACCCAAAGTGAACATTGTGTCAAATAAGGGCCTGAAGTGCCCAATCAGTCTCAAATAAGAACCCGAAGTGCTCAAAAAGTCTCAAATAAGGACCTGGGTCCCCGGCCGGCCAAAATACCCGCCGGCCGGCGAGAAAGTTACTGTTCCGGCACCGGAACAGTAACTTTTTCATTTTTTTATTATTTTTTTCTGTTTTTTTCTTTTCCTTTTCCTTTTCTTTTTTTTTTCTTCTCTTCCTCCGCCGGCCATAGCCGGGGCCGGCGGAGGTCGCCGGCCTCGGCGAGGCCGCCTTCGCCGGCGTCGGGCGAGGGCCGCCCTCGCTGGGGCCGGGCGAGGCTCGGCCCCGCCGGCGTCGGGCGAGGCCGGCCTCGCCAAATCTCGGCGATGGCTCGGCCGAGGTCGCCCTCGCCGGCGTCGGGCGAGGCCGGCCTCGCCGGTTGCGGGCGAGGTCGAGCCTCGCCGGCGTCGGGCGAGGCCGGCCTCGCCGGTTGCAGGCGTGGTCGAGCCTCGCCGATTTGGCGAGGCCTCGGCCCTGCGGCATCGGGCGAGGCCGGGCTCGCCGTTGCGGGCGAGGTCGAGCCTCGCCCGGATCCGGCGAGGGCTCGACCGCCGGCGTCGGGTGGTCGCCCTCGCCGGCGTGCGGCGAGGCCGGCCTCGCCAGATCCGGTGAGGCTCGACCTCGCCGCAACCGGCCTCGCCCGACGTCGGCGAGGCTCGACCTCGCCCGACGCCGGCGAGGCCGGCCTCGCCCGACGCCGGCGAGGGCGGCCTCGACCTCGCCCGACGCCGGCGAGGGCGGCCTCGCCCGACGCGGCGACCTCCGCCGGCCCGGCTATGGCCGCGGAGGAAGAGAAGAAAAAAAATAAAAGAAAACGAAAAGGAAAAGAAAAAAATAGAAAAAGTAATAAAAAATGAAAAGTTACTGTTCCGGTGCCAGAACAGTAACTTTCTCGCCGGCCGGCGGGTATTTTGGCCGGCCAGGGACCCAGGTTCTTATTTGAGACTTTTTGGGCACTTCGGGTCTTTATTTGAGACTGATTGTGTACTTCAGGTCCTTATTTGACACAATGTTCACTTTGGGTCCTTATTTGAGAATTTGACCCCACTTGGGGTCCTTAATTGGAATTTTCCCAAATATTAATTTACGTACATTGGATTTTCCCTCATTATTATACCTTATAGGAGGCCCCGTTTGCAATAATTGTTGAACTCTGAAGAATAAGTTGTTTCTTTAGAGACATGGTTGGAACCTCTAACCTCTTGGACACCATCCACTCCCTATACCATCAGAATTGGGTAGAGTTCTTTGCTTTATGAATGGCAAGAGATTGATTTGTGCACAATTTCTTCTCCTTTTACAAATAAGGTTCTCATCAGCGCCTGGTGAGATACGATCTCATAACCTCTAAAATAACTGGATGTGAGACTACCTATTCGATATGAGTCAATAATTATTATTTTTCATGCCGTCCAATTTTTCTGGTTGAATTAGTGAACGGTGTACCGTCGGTACGGCCTCCGATACAGTTTTCATAATAATGCTTTTGGTTGGCCATGTTGTCGAAGCCGCCACGATTTGTCCGTTTAATGAAGGAAAAGTTGACATGACATGTTATATGATTAAGGGGGTGTTTGGTTGGACTTTGCCGAGGAGCTTTGAGCCTCCAAAGCCCTTTGGGGGAATTATTTTGTGTTTGGCAAATCATTTTTGGAGTTCTTTGGCCAAATGCTGGCCTTCTCAAGGCTGAAAGCCCAAGGCTGGTCCGGGACCACCTTGGGCTTTCAAAGATTCCACGAATGCTACTGTTCACATATTTTTTTTTTTTTTGGGTTGAATCTGTTCTTCACCAGGCAGCCGGCGAGGGCGGCCGGCGAGGGTGGCCGGCGAGGGAGAGCGGCCGGCGAGGTCGCCTGGGGTCGGGCGACCGCCCGGGCGACGCCGTCCCCAGGCGGCGGCCGCCTGGGTCGCGCGACCTCGCGGCGGCGTCGCTCGAGTCGGGCGACCTCGGGCGGCCGCCGCCCGAGGTCGCCCGACCCGAGCGACGCCGCCCGAGGTCGCGCGACCCGGGCGGCCGTCGCTTGGGTCGTGCGACCCCCGCCGAGGGTCGCTGGCCTCGGGCGGCCGCCCGCCGCGGCAAATCTGGCTCGTCGGCGGTAGCCCGAGGTCGGGCGACCGCCGGCGAGCCAGATCTGCCGGCGGCGGCGGCCGTAGGCCCTCGCCGGCGGCCGGCTCCGGCGACGGTAGGTTTTGTTTTTTTTTTAATAAATAAAATAATTCTCAAAGTCCATTTGCAAAAAAAAATTCACCAAACACTATATTTTGGCCAAAGTAGTTTTACAAAATATTTTTACCAAATACCATTTACATTTGCCCAATGGGCTTTCACTCAAAGGTATTTGCATTCCCCCAAGTAGCATTTTCAAAATTGAACCAAACAGGCCCTAAAAGATGCATACAAGTTGGTAATCTGGCAAGTTGTCCTTCTCCTTTCACGCCCGTAAAATGTGCGCTAGAAGGGTCGAGCTGGAATGACCCTCAAATTAGTCCAACTACGTACCTTTCCGAGATGATTTTAAACGGCATAAAATTAATTAGCACATTCTTTATTCGTTAGGCTTTCCCCATCGAGGAAGATTCCCCATCGATGCCTTTTGTAGGAGTTTGGACGGTGTCTCTATCCCAACGTGGGTTGATAGTCTTCTTAAACTAATCACAGATCATCGTCTTCGTAAGCCACTGCCTCATCCACGCTAAAGAACTTGTCTAATGTGTTATGACATTTAGTGTTGTCCGGTGGCGTGCAATTGCTGCCGATGTTTCGTAGAAAGCCTTCATTTCGTGTCGCACGAGTGAAGACTTTTGTTGATGTTGTTCACACGAGGTTTGCCCAAAAGTCAAGGCTCCATATCCATGGATGGCACGTGTTCTCCCAAAGCGACGATTGCGCTTAGAACTAGCTTTGTGTAGTACTTTTAATTGTTGCCCCACCACATTTGTGTAAAGTTAAGGCAACTAGTTTTTCCGAAACAACGTGCTGCTTTTAATGCTGAGGGTCTATCATTAATGATGATGGAAATCAAACTTGCGTCACCAAAAAGATTATGAATGACGTGGAGTTGCGTTCATGTCATCTACATCACTCTTTTGAGACAATAAAATTTACCCAAAAAAATCTATTAAGTATATCATGTTTTCTTATCAAGGACTTAGTTAATTAGTGTGGGCCTCAATGACACTTTATTAAGTATCTAATTAAGAAAATTTCTTAGTTTTCTACTTTGTCTGGTTATTTCAATTGTTGCCGCACCACATTTGTTTAAAGTCAACTATTTTTCCTAAGCAACGCACTGCTTTTAATGTGTTCGGTCTATCTTTAACGACTAGGACAGTAATTGAAAACGTGTCACGAAGATTATGGATGACATGTGGTTGCGTTAATGGCACCTACATAACTCTTTTGAAGCAATAATTCTTACCCAATAAAATCCGTCGAGTATATCATGTTTTCTTATCAAAGACTTAGTTAATTAGTGCAGGCCTTGAGGACACTTTATTAAGTATCTAATTAAGAAAATTTCTTGGTTTTCTACTATACTAACCATCTCGATTCATGCATAATCACTGTTTTTGAAAAGTTAATTATTTCTCAATTAGTATGTCTAACAAACGTGCGGAGTAGACCTGTCAAAAGGGGTCATAGACCCATTTTTTAACCCATATATGAGTTAGTTATATTCGGTAAATGGGAGAAAAATTACCAAAACAGTTCTAAACATATTACAATTGTGCCAATTCAGTCCTAAACCTATTTTTTGTGTCAATTCAGTCCTAAACCTTTCAATTTGTGCCAATTCAGTCCTAAACCTATTTTTTGTGTCAATTCAGTCCTAAACCTTTTCAATTTGTGCCAATTCAATCCATCCAGCTAATTTTGGCTGGCCGACGCTGACGTTGATGCTGGTCGACGCTGACGTGGCAATTTTTTAATATTACTTTTTTATTTTTTCGAATTTTTTTATTTTTTCTTTTCTTTTGTTTTTCCTTTCCTTTTCTTTTTTTTTTTCCCTTCATCTTCATCTTCAACATTTGATCGATCGCCGATTCAGCGACCGGCCAGAGGCAATTGGCAAGGTTGACCTCGCCCGCCCCTGGCGAGGCTCGGCCCTACTGGCAACTAGCGAGGCCGATATTGCCAGTTGCCAGTGAGTTCAAGCCTCGCCAGATTTAGTGAAGGGTTGTCCTCGCCGTCGCTCTAGTCGAACTCGCCGGCGCTGGCGAGGTCGGCCTTGCCCAGCAACGGCGAGGTCGAGCCTTGCTAGGGGCTGGCGAGGCCGACCTCGCCAATTGCCAGTGGGACCAAGCCTCGCCAATGCCGGCGAGGTCGAGCGTCGCTAGCGACCGGCGCGGTTGACCTCACTGGCTTCCGCCTCTGGCAGGTTGCCGGTTGTTGAAGATGAAGATGAAGGGAAAAAAAAAGAAATGGAAACGAAAAAATAAAAGAAAAGAAAAAATAAAAAAAATTCGAAAAAATAAAAAATAATATTAAAAAATTACTACGTCAGCGTCAGCCGGCTGGCCAGCATCCACGTCAACGCCGGCCGGCCAAAATTGGCCGGATGAACTGAATTGGCACAAATGCAAAAGGTTTAGGACTGAATTGACATAAAAAAATGATTTAGGACTGAATTATCACAATTACAATAGGTTTATGACTGTGTTGGTAATTTTCACGTAAATTGGTCATGAATGGGATTAAACATAATATGAGCTTTAAATGGGTT